ACCAATGTCTAAACAAGGCATAGTGCCAACAGCCACTAGATAAAGACGGAGGTGCCAGTTTTGCTGTCACTGCTAAGTAGCATTTGAGAGGCCCTCCACAGGGAGAGAAGAGAGGAGCAAATTCAGCCTGATTTAAACATGATGGAAAATACATTTTGAAAAACAAGAAAATGAAGCCCATGCATGTACCAGGATTGTGTTTAAACTCAATTGCTGCCATCTCTGTACACCAGCATGGCACACAGGTTGGCTGGAGATTCCAGCCATACAGGATCAGCTGAGTTTGGCCATCCCTGTAACTTAATTCATATAAATATGTGAAACGGCCTTGTACCTAATTGGACCATTGGTCCATCTAGGTTTTCCGTGACTGGGAGATTTTCCACAGTATCAAGCTTCCTCCTGCCTGCTCTTCTATTCATCCGCGGCTTTCCCTGTTTCCATGGATGATTTCTTCCTCCCAGAAGCAAAGATGCAGTTTGCCCCCTCTTGCAGCACAGCATGGGACTGCGGAACAACAGGGGACAAACTGTTTTTGTGCCTGGAACTGCAAAAACACCTGCAAAAATTAGGGAAAGCAGCGGAGAAATGCAAGTGCAGGTGCGGGGAGAACCATTCCTGTGGAAAATGTCTGGCTGCTGTGTTTCTGTTCTCAGGCAAAAGAAGGGCCTTTCCCCATACCAGCTAACCAAGACCCTTGAACTGTGGAAATGCCTGTGATTTGCTGCTGACCATGCTGTCAAGTTGCAGCTGACTCATGGCAACCCCAGGGCCCTGGGGTTTTCCAATCAAGAGACAAGCAGAGGTGGTTTGCTAATGCCGTCCTCTGCACAGCAATCCTGGTCTTCCTTGGTAGATTTTCATCCAAGTTCTGACCACGGCCAACCCTGCTTCGCTTCCCAGCTTAGATGAGCTCAAGCTATTCAAGTTGTTCCATAGCCTATCCAAAGTCAAAATGGGTAACACAATTAAATTAGTTTGGAATGTGATGATGATTTTAGCTTGTGTTTGTGGTTGCCTTTTTAATTTTCCTTTTGAGGTGGGCAACAAGTGCCTGGTCTGAATGCTCTGCTTCGTGTGGCCATGGATTTTGCCAGCGGCAAAGAATCTGCAAGCAAGTCAAAGCCAATGGAGTTGCCATAACAGTGCCTCCAACTGCTTGTGCATACATAGAGCGGCCTATGGAAAGGAAACCATGTGTGGGACATTCATGTACAGGATGGATAATTCATCCATGGGGTCAGGTAATTAACTCTCATACTGGTACCACATGTTCGGCCATATACTGCTGGGGCTACCACTAAACATGGTCTGATAGGGCTTTCGAAACAAACCCTGTTGACATGAATAATGATTGCCCTGCAGAATTGCTTAGTAATGCGCACCATGGTGGTTTAGGCATGCTTACATATAGAACTAGGAAGAGATAAAAAACAAATATTTTGTTTACATTTCTACCTTGCCTTTCTGCCATTACTGGACCTCAAGGTGATTTACAATCAGATTGAATCAATCATAATGAATAAAAAAGATAAGCAAGCAACCAATAAACTAGTAAAAGAACTAAAGCATCCAGAAAATTATATCACCATTGCAAAATTCTAAAACGAAAGGTCAGGGTAAACAGAAATGCTTTTGGCAAGATTTGTATTATGGGCACCTAAAAGAGGGAGGATGGGTTGTAAAGCAGAAACAAGAGTCCTCATTCGGGGATCGAGCAACTGATGGTCCTTGGGCCCACATTCAGTCCCTTGTATGCTTCTGACTGGCACCATGGTTTTCAGTTGCAGAGCCCCCCCCCCCCCCCCCGTGCCATTGAATGGCATCTGTGGCAATAGGACTCTGAAGCAGGTCATTTGTGGAAGGACAGCGGGAGTAGGGAACCTTCTTTGTCTGAAGGGACCATCCAGCAAATGTGGTTGCTCACCTGGGCCTTATTCAGCTCCTTAGGGCATTTGGCCCCTTTGTGCAATAAAATGATTTCGGAATGCTGAGGTTATTAATTTTTTTGAGCTGAGAGATTCTGCTGAAATATTTATTCAGCTTCAATCATAACTTACTCCTCGCCATGGAAACCACAGCCAAATGTTTTGAATTTTAACATCAGTGTCAAATTAATCATGACACCAAGCACAGAAAGATAAAAGAGCAATCCCTCTCTTGACTGCTATTAAAACAGTAGCATCTGCCTGTCATTATTCTGCGTAGGGTGCCAGTGAAGAGAGGGGCTGCATATTGAACAAGTCAGGGGTGGGGCAGAATGGTGCTTGGGAGTGACCAGTAATTCTCTTGAGCAGTTAAAAGTAGCTCTCTGCTTCTCCTCCAGGGCTTCTGCCATCAGTGTATTATCCCTCCCTTTAAAGCTACCACAGCAGCTTCTCTCTTCTTCTTCTTTCCTGAGAAGGAGATGCGCGTGCACGCGCGCACACACACACACACACACACACCATCCTCTCAATGGGAGAATGCCATCTTTCTTATCCACCTCTTCTCCTCCTTCATGAGTGCTCACATGCACCCTTGTTCTAAATGGGGAATGAGTGTGCTGTTGACATTCCCCTACATTGCAGCAAAACAGGTCTTTGCCTTTTTCATTGAAAACACTGAACACATGGAACTGCCTTATACTGAATCGGAACACAGGTCCATCAATGTCAGTAGCTCTCCAGGGTAAAGTTCTTTCACATTGCACTACGATCTGATCCTTTTAACTGGAGATGCCAGGGACTGAACCTGGTATTTTCAGAATGCCAAGCAGATGCTCTGCCATTTTTTTATTTTTTTTATTTATTCAAGTATTTCTACCCCGCTCTACCCCGCGAACGGGCTCAGGGCGGCTTACAAAGGCATAAGCCATACATAAAATACAATAAAAATCAGTAAAATCACAATCTCAAGCAATAACATACTATTAATAATAATAAAATGCTATAAATTCCAAGATGGTCTGCAGTTGGTTCCTACAGGGAATACTCCCTGTCGCCAGTAGTTGTAATAATTGTTCCGGCAATATTAGTCCAAGTTAATCAGCTGGTCTTGCTGCCATATAGTTCGTGTAGTGCACCTCGTCGTCGGGCTATCAAGGGCACTCCAACTTGATGGTATTTCCACCGTTGGTGGTGGTGGGAGCGGCGGCCCCTACATAAAGGCCTGGTGGAAGAGCTCCGTCTTGCAGGCCCTGCGGAATTGCATGAGATCCCGCAGGGCCCTGATCTCCTCCGGGAGCTCATTCCACCAGGTAGGGGCCGCCACTGAGAAGGACCTAGCCCTCGTTGCAGCATATCGCGCCTCTCTGGGACCCGGCACCACTAAACGGCTCTGGGTCCCTGACCGAAGTGCTCTTGGGGGTGTATATGGGGAAAGGCGGTCCCTCAGGTAGGTCGGACCCAGGCCATATAGGGCTTTAAAGGTGAGTACCAGCACTTTGAAGCGGATTCGGTATGCTATTGGCAGCCAGTGCAGCGCCTTAAACCCAGGCTTGATGTGCTCCCATCTAGGGAGGCCCATCAGCAGCCTAGCTGCCGCATTCTGCACCAGCTGCAGCCTCCGGATCAGCGACAAAGGCAGCCCCATGTAGAGAGCGTTACAGTAGTCTAGCCTTGAGGTGACCGTCGCATGGATCACTGTAGCCAGGTCTTCATGGTCGAGGAAAGGAGCCAACTGCCGAGCCTGCCTCAGATGGTATTGGGTTTAACTTCAACCGGCTCAGCCTGAGCCACTCAGCCACGGCCTGTAGTCCCTGTTGGAGATCTTCCGGGTCGGAGCCCGACCGGCCACCCAACATCAGATAGAGCTGGGTGTCATCTGCATACTGATGGAGCCATGGAGCCACAGGAAACCTACAGTGTGGGGGCTTGCTTTGAGGAAACAGCAGAGCCCTGCAGGGCTACTCTGAAATGCTAATTTTTGTACAAGTCACCATTTAATGAGTCAGCACCCACTGAGTTGCAATTTTTGTGCCTGGAACTCCCCAGGCTCTTAAAACATAAAGTCTGCCCTCCCTTGCCTTAAGGAGATGCAGTGTGTCCATGTCATCTCTGTCCAGAGACCTATTGCATGAGCCCTGTGTGGGGCACAGTCACAGTTGATGGACAGGCAAATGATTCTTGAGTGTATTCACTTATTTATTACATTTATTTATTACATTCAGAATCCCTCATTTGCTTCCCTTGTGGAGGTCAAGGTGGCATTTGGAGAGTTCCCAGGAGGCAAGGAGCACAGCCAGACCTGCTTTGCTTCTTGGCACGAGTTCCTTGCAGCCATTCATTTATATGGTTGAAAGTAAAGGTATACTCTGGGATGCCTTTTGCAGGAGTGTGGCTCAGTGGCAGAACATTTGCTTTGCATTCAGATGGCACCAGGCTCAATCCCAGCTAAAAGGATCAAGAAGTAGGTGACATGAAAGACTTCTTACCTGAGATCCTGGAGACCTGCTGCCAGTCAGAGTAGCTAATATTGCCTCCAGTAGGCCCATAGTCTGACGCAGTATAAGGCAGTTTTATGTGTTCACCAGTTTGGTGGGGGCTAAACTTACCCCTGGAGCTGCGGTGGCTCAAGTGGTTAAGACGCTGAACTGCAGGCTGTGGAAGGTCAGTAGTTCAGCAGTTCAAGACCCGGGTGCCGCAAGACGGGGTGAGCTCCTGTCTCTAGTTCTAGCTCCTGCCAACCTAGCAGTTCGAAAGCAAGAAATTGCAAGTAGATAAATAGGGACCACTTCGGTGGGAAGGTAACAGCGTTCCGTGCGCCTTGGTGTTTAGTCATGCCGGCCACATGACCACGGAAATGTCTTCAGACAGCGCTGGCTCTTTGGCTTTGAAACAGAGATGAGCACCGCAACCCTAGAGTCAGATTCGACTGGCTTTCGAGCAAGGGAACCTTTACCTTTTTTAACTTACCCCTGGTGACCACACTCCTGCAAGGTGAATGTCAGGACCAGTGTTCCCTCTAAGCTGAGCTAGTGTGAGCTAGCTCACAGTTTTTTAGCCTCCAGCTCACACATTTTTGTCTTAGCTCAGGAAGGATGGCTCCAGAGCAAACTACTTTATGCAGCAGCCAAATCACTCGCTCACAACTTTAATGCCAGTAGCTCACAAAGTAGAATTTTTGCTCACAAGACTCCACAGCTTAGAGGGAGCATTGGTCAGGACTTGTCTCCCTCATGGGTGTGTTCCAGATTGTGTCTCTTGGATGGGAGCAATTCACACATCAGTGAGACCCCGTCTGCATAGCCTTGCCTTGGATTCTGTTTCTGGATATTTGGGTGCCGGTACCCTTTGAACTGATTGTAGATGAATATCTGTGCACATCTCATTGGTTTGGGTTTTGCCAGCTCCTCCGCCTTTCTCATGCCCTGTTCCCTTCCTTGGCAGTGTGCTGGCCGCTGCATCGACCGCGCTGTGGGCTTGCAGCACCGTCTTGTTCGGTATCAGCATCAGAATGGATCGGCGGTATCATACTTGTGCTGTGATGAAGGGAAAAGGTATCACTGCCGCTGGGCAGAAATTGGGCGCAACAAGTTTTTGTGCCTTGCATGCCTTTTACTTGATGTTTCCAGACAGTTGTGTGCAGGTAGAGTGGCAGACATCTGGTTAGGCCCTCAGACAGGGCTACTTACTGCCTCTCCCTTTCCTAAGTCAGAGCCCAGGGCAGGATATCCTCAGAAGAGCAGGGGGCTGTACTAGGGTTGAGTCCGTTCCCACAGCTCTCTCCCGTTCAGGCTTCAGTCCTTCTCCTGAGGATCTGATCTGACTGGAACCCCGAAATGCACTCCTGCAACCCCACTGATTCTGCCTGCTGGAGCATCTTCATTAAGAGGGATCATGGCTGGCTGGCTGGAGGGCAACTCTGGGCTCCAGCCAGCAATTCCACTTCTTAGGAAAGAAACAAAAATCTTTTAAGTGCTGTAGCAAGTCACTGCAGTTTAGCCGAGAGTTAAAGAGACCTTGGCCAATGAGTTCTCTTGGCTACCCTACAATTCCCCAGGCATTAGGGAGAACACAGTAGCCAAGATCTCTCTGTCACAGCATCACAGGAGTGGACTCTTGTGGCAGTTCCCTTCCCCCAGCATTGATCTCTGCACACTCTGAGCCTGAATCCCTCAGCTCAAAGGCCTGGAGGAAAAGGGGAGAGAAGAGACAGAGACTGGAGGGCCAGGCAGAGATCAGGTGAAATGAGCAGGAGGAAACTATGGGTGGTGAAGCTGGATCCAACCAGCTTTTCTGCTGGTGAAGAAGAAAGAAGGTGTCCTCATTGGCCATCCAAAGAGGCTGTGCTGAGAGTTGTGGGGCCTCCATATACAAAAGCCATATGGAACAGGGGCTGTAGGAGGAAGGGAAATTTAAAAAGCTGGCTGGATCCAGCCCCTGGGCTTACATCCACACATCATGGGATACTTCACAATCATTGTGCAATAGCAGTCATTCACGACTTGATTTTCCTGTGTGAACCAGACAGTCCAGTTGTAACTGACTGCCACAGCACATCAATAGGGCAATATTCAACGATGTGTGGATGCAGCCCTTGAGAAAGGAGGAGCTGAAGAGAAAACAGAACTGGAGCAAAACCTCACAGAGGGCCCTGGGACAGGGAAGTGGCACATGATTTGCAGGAAGGCGAATGGCAGGTGAAGAAGATGAAAGCCAGGGAACCTTTAGATAGATCTAGACTCCCCCTTGTGGCTTTTCCTGTCACTTGGGTATCAGAGGGTCAAAGGAGCAGTAGAGGAAGGTGCAGCTGAACTCCCATGTGTTGATACCAACTAAGCAGCCATACTGTTCTTCAGCTGCAGGCAATCTGGTAATTCCAGACTCTGCTGAACTAAATCTCAAACCACACTTTGTTTTCTCTTCTTCTCTCCCACTCCTCATAAGACCATCTGTTAGAAGAAACTGCTCCACAGACAAATGTGACGTGTTTTGGCGGACAGGTCCCTGGCGACCTTGCAGCGTGGACTGTGGAAGCGGATTTCAGTCACGACACGTTGACTGCATCCACAGGAGAAGTAAGAGACCTGTAGCAGATCAGTACTGCACCTGGAGGAAGAGACCAGTGACCTGGCAACACTGCAATGTCACTTCCTGTGACAGTATGTAAACGTTTATTTATTTATTTATTTAGAAACCACTGCTCACTTGGCAGCAATTGCTTCAGAGAGTGGCCTTCAACTCAAGACTGAACTTGATGAGCCAGGTCTTGAGTGAAACCTGCCCTCGCCAACAATTACTGTTGTCCCAGTCAGTTGATACTGAAGAAGTAAGCCAAGGAACTCCTGGGTTAGATTTAGACAGAGCAATTTACTGGACCTGGGTCCTTTTAATGCCGCTTGCTCACAATTGAGTCTCCTATGGGTTATTCTGCAAACATTCTGTGAAAGACGCCAGAAGTGAAGAGTTAATGTTTGACATAGATCTTAAACCTGTGTTGTGTGAGATGGGATGCTGGTGTAGAAAATTAGCATCAAAGCTCCATGATGCTATGTATCAATCCTTTTTTCAATTCGTGTAATGTTTCAATGTATTTTCCAGAAGGTGAATGCAAGGATACTACTCACTACTGTGCATTTGTAAAGCACCTAAAATTGTGCTTGATAGAAGTCTACAAACAAAGGTGTTGTCAATCATGTGAAGAAGGTTTTTCTTCTATGGGAAGTTCATAAAGCCAAGACGAAGATATCACAAGAAGAGAATTTTTCATCTCTCTCAATCCTGAGTGCTTTGGATCATAAAGACAGATGAGTAATATGGGATTGACTGAAAAGAAAACACAGGAATATTCCTGACTAGATGTGTGTTTTTCATCTGGTTTCTCCCTCTTTCTTGAAATTGAAGCTGTAATGGATGTTGATAAGAGAATACCATTACCCCTTATCTGTGGAACATTACAACTTGAACAGCATCAGAAGGAAAACTCATTGACTGTGAAGCTCTGGGGCAATATTCCCAATTGTATCAAGCCAGTCATAGTTCATCTTACACAACTTTTAATATTGGAATGCAGTGACCAATCTGCTTTGCTTGTTATTTTCCTGGTTTTGATCCACTTTTAGACAACACTGAAAACAAATAGAAATTGCCGTCTGTAACTTACAAAGGTTTTGCCAGTGGCTCCATTTCTTTAATGTCTGACGAACACATTATCACAGCCATCAGATAGATCCCCATTTTGTTTTCTTTCCTTCATTTAAGTGCCTCTGGTAAAAGCCAATGTACCTGCCGTTTTATGATTTTCAAATCTGCCATGGGACTGTTTTTCAATCAATGAGGTGTCATTTGGGGGAGTGGTTCCTATAGCGTCTGCTTTAGTCTCACTGGAATCTGATCAAAGCGAGGGCATGATTAGTCTAATATGAATCTACATGGGAGCTTGGAATGAAGGTTTTATGTTTTGAGAACTGTTCTCTTGTACTCAGTCAGATGGGAAATGAGAGTCAGTCTCTGGCCAAATGTGTCTGTGAGGCTGGATTGCCCTTGAAGAAATAGCCTATACTTTCCCAGTCATTGGAAAGTTTAAAAAACAAAACAGAAAGAGTTGCTATACGTTGAGACAGACATGTGTTAAGCATCAGTTTCAATCGAGTTTCATTCCTCTTGACTAGTATGCATTTAGAGTTATTGCATGCCAGTAAATCCTCGGAATGACAGACTTGAAGTAGCTCTTTTTTATTCTTACCAATTATGTGTGCGAGTCCAGCAAAAAAAGGCAGTTAGGTTTTAAGAAATAAGAACCATGCAAAATTGGAAATAAATGTGCCAAGATTTGGAATACTGGCATGCTATTCTGGATGTTCCATCTCCAAAAGTTATGGAAAACAGCAACCAAAATTTACCAGGAGGTCAGAAAGATTATGAAGTAGCAAGAAGACAGGAAGTCTATACAATTGTGGACAGTGAGAGCAGAGAGAGAAAAGTTTCACTTGCAATGCTAGAACTGCGGCAGGATAGGGTAATCCAATGATCCTGGCAGTAGGTTCAGAACAGACAAAAGACCCATAACACAGCACATAATTAACTTACTAAATTTACTGCCAGATGATAGAGTGATGGCAGTTGGCTTAGATAGCTTTAAAAGGGGATTAGACAAATTCATGGAGGGCAAACATATTAACTGCTATAAACCATAAGCCATGACAGAAAGATCTGTGGAAGCTCCACATCCCGAGGTAATATGCCCCCAATTACCAGACACAGGGGAGGTACAGTTGCCTTGCTTATGAACTTTCCAAAGGCATTTGGAATCGTGGACTCTTGGTCTGATCTAAGAAGGTTCTCCTGATGTAGCTGAGGAAGTTCTGGTCATTTTCATTTGTGTACATGAGCTCTTGTGCAAATGCTAGAAGTCATAGTCTGTTCAGCTGGAATTTATAGTAATCGTTCAGCATAGTAACATCCAAGGTTTTGGTTTCTGTCCTGTCTGTATTAGATTGATACACTGTGGTTTTGCCTCATTGACTGTTAAACTAGTACTACTGGATAGCAAGCCTGCATTGTGGTTAACTGTGTCCTCCGCTAACTTGAAAGAAAGGAATATATCAGTGAAAGAGGAATATATCAGAATTGTGATCTGATCAGTGACTAGTCCGTTGAATACTTTGCAGTTATTAGGATTCAGTGGTAAAACTTTTCTTAGACTGTATCATTTCACTCTGAAGGGACTGAATATGAAGGGCTGAATATGAACCTCCCTACAAAATCCTAGTATTAACCAACAAATAGAAAGACCAGATGTCAGAGAGAAAGCTAAGTTGAGGCCTGCTTCCTGACATGGTGAATGTAGGGGTTTTATAACATGGAAGAAGAAGAATTTGCCATTGAGTCACAACTGACTCATGGTGACCCCATCCATAGGGCATTCCAAGCAAGAGAGAACCATAGAAATATAGAGCTGATAGGGGCCTCATGGGGCCTCTAGTCCAAAGCCCCTGCACAAAGCAGGAAATTCCCTACCCCCCCCCACTCCCCCAGTGACCGCTGCTCTATGCCCAGAGGAAGGCAAAAAAACCTCCATGATCCCTTGGCCAATCTGGCTTGGAAGAAAATTCCTAACTGACACCAAAGTAGTGATTGGCATTACGCTGGGCATGTAAGAAAGGGCCATGAGAGCTGAGCACTGACTCATCCCTTCCTGCCCTCCCTCTCCTGATCTGCCTAAGTTCACAGAATCAGCATTGCTGTCAGATGACTATCTAGCCAATGCTTTAAAACCACCATGGAAGGAGAGCCCACCACCTCTGAGGAAGTCTGTTCCACTGAGGAACTGCTCTGACAGGATGAGGTGGTTTGCCATTGCCTTCCTCTTTGTAGCAACTCTAGTCTTCATTGGTGGTCTCCCCTCCTAACTGTGGCCAACCCTTCCAATGGAGGGACATACACAATAAAATGCAATCCCCGATCCATAGACTGAAATAGCAGTTTTATTAAGAGCTTCACCATTCAGTTCTGCCAACTGTGTATACAAGCTAACTTTTTAAATACACATTAACATCAATGGGAGAATTAAATATGTGTTGTTGAACTCAGTGAGCTTAGAAGTGATTACCTTTGTACCTTAGTGATTACCTTAGAAGTGATCATTACCCTACCTTTCAAATCAGTCATGGGTCTTCTTTGTTTATACCGTTTGTAAATTAAAACACATGTAATATACTTTTGTATATATTTATTATGTGTTCTAAAAGTGCAATATTTTTGTACAGTGTGTAATAAAGATATATATGTATATATATATATATTATTGCTGAAACTGATAAGTGTTTTTTGCATTGTATTTAACTGAAAGCAATGAACTGCTTGCCTTCCTGTTTTGCTAGTACATGACCCTGAGAATGCAGAGCTGTGAATGTTAAAGCAGCTTGTTACTGGCCTCCATAGATTATTCTTGGGCAACCACAGTAACCAAAGATGTTTAATATTCTTCATTCATAAAGGTAATTTTTATTTCACAAAATAAATACTACTTTGGTTATCCCAGCTGCATTAATATATGGAAATAGTTTGTTATTTTGCAAGATTCATTACTATATGGAAATGGTTTGGCATTTTGTAAGATTCATCAGAGGGATGGTTTTTGTCCTCTCTACTTCCCCACCTAGGCTTCCCAAGTCCCCCCAGGGGGCGGGGAAACCCCCGCCCCAGAGGCCCGTTCCCCGGCACCACCGGATTGGGCCCCAGGGGGAACTCCTCCCCAACGTGCACGTCACCTGGAAGTGACGCGACCACGCCAGGCACGCTGGGGGCGGGGCCACGGCTATCCGAGGGAAAACTCTATGGTTTTCCCTTGTATGGCCGTGGCCCCGCCCCCAGCATGCCTGGCGTCATCATGTCACTTCCGGGTGATGTGCATGCAGTGCGCGCATGCGAAGTGCACACACGCACACACCAGACGCCGGCCGGGAGCCCCCCGCTCCCGGCAAAGATCGACTTGGCAACCCTATCCCCACCCAATAAAGCTGCCTTATGTTGTGGCAGACAGTTTAGTTTACCTAGGTCAGTACTCTGACTGGCAGTGGCTTTCTAGGGTCTTGAGTGGAGGTCCTCCACATCACCTACTCCCTGATCATTTTGGATTGAACCTGGCACCCTCTTCCTAGAATGCAGGTGCTATAACATGGAGACATGGCCCCATCCCAGAAATATGCAAATGCACACAGGGACTGCAGAGTCAGAACATTAATCTTTCAAGGCCAGTATTGTCTACTCTGACCGGCAGTGGCTGTCCATGGACTTTGGGAGAGGTCCTTCCCAGCATTTGATTCCTGGACCTGCTTTGGATTGAAGCTGGGACCTTCTGCATACAACGCAGGTGCTCTACTAAAGAGCCATGGCTCCTCTCATTGGAGCTGCTACAGGGTCAGTCTTCCTGTGGCAGGAAGTATTCACTGAATACTTACAGCATTTGATGTGACAAACATACAAATGTACAAGGTGAACATGGGGAAGCCGTCAAGATGCAGATGGTCAGAGACTTTTAAGAAGAAGAGGAAGAAGAGATTGGATTTATACCCCGACCTTCACTACCCAAAGGTGTCTCAGAGCGGCTTACAAACTCCTTTCCCTTCCCCTCCCCACAACAGACACCCTGTGAGGTGGGTGGGGCTGAGAGAACTCTGACACAAACTGCTCTTTTTCAAGGACAGCTGTGCCAGAGCTTGCGACTGACCCAAGGTCACATCAGCAGGTGCAAGTGGAGGAGTGGGGAATCAAACCCGGTTCTCCCAGATTAGAGTCCGCGCACTCAACCACTACACCAAACTGGCGGTTGTCCCGGTGTGCAGCATCCATTTTCTCAAAAGCATAACCCGATGTCACCTTCTTGCCAGCTGGCTTCACCCCTGCTCCAATTCCTACTCTCCTTCACTAGCTGTATTCTAACAAACCCAACTATTTTTCAGCTCCCTCTCAAGGAGGTGCACATTTGATGAGCAACAAGCAAATTCATGAAAAGCATTGTGTCTGCCATGATGTGAGACAATGTGGAATTTCCACTGGTTGATTTCACTTGATGAGGGGCATTTATCCAAGAAAATGTTGCCGGTTGAAATGACGAGAACCAACTAGAGCTAGTGCTTGCTCCATTTCACAGGCATTAACTAAGCCCAAGAAACAGACTTGTGCAAGCAAAGACCAAACAAAGAAATTCTTGGAGAGTCATTTACCAATGGAAGACAAGAAAACAATACTGAGAGCATGTTCTCAGACTGGACTGGGGATCCATCTTGTGGCTATGCCGGATGTCTAAAAGAAACCCTGCATCTGTTCCTAGGGCATAGTGCATAGGTGTTGAACTCATTTTTTATGAGAGCCCAATCTGACAAAATGTTACTTTGTTGAGCTCAGCCATGTGTGCCATAAAACGTAATGCCAGGTACCAGAGATACAAACTTTATAAAGGGCAGTAACTGGCAAGCTCCAGGTTGTTGTGGAGGCCCCGTGGGCTGGGAGGGGTGCACAGAGGAAAACTCACATGGGTAGACTGGAGAGCCAGGACTGCAGTGCTGGGCAGACACTCCCATGCCCCAACAGAGGATTGTCTGCACAGCCCCACATACGAACACTGATCCCTGCAGCCATCCGGGGCAGCATCCCTGGAGCTGCAGACTGAGTGGAGAGGTATGAATGCGGCTGCAGTGGCTCCCTACTTTCCAGTCCCTGAAGTGAGGGGGTTCTGCTTGACTGCTGCAGACGAGGTTGTCCCGCTGTGCTGAAGCCACAATTGGAGTGGCTTCACCCACCCACCCCCCCGCCAGCAGCCTCCTGCTCCCTCCCTTGCACCAGTTGCTCACAGGCCGCATAACAGCCCTGGACAGGCTGTTTCCATCCCCCAGGCTCCCCTGGCATAGCCGCTGAACTCCAGTTCTACACTTCAAAAACAAAAACAGGAAACATAAATGATATAAATTTTAATTGATTTTTACCCATTTCCAGAATACTAAATTTACATAGGACAAAGAAGAGAACAAACAGGCTTTAATCTTAGTTTGTGCTGTGAGAGTATCAAGGATACCACATGGGAGCAATATGGACAGAAGCCTTTCTTTGTTGTCTTTCTTGTCCCCACTGATTTATTTTGTGCTTTCTTTAATAACATTCAGTACTGATGTCAATCTCTGAATTTGGTGATTTGCAATACAGTGCATGGCATTATGTGACACTTCAGTTATACAGAGGCTTTCCCTAAAGTAATGAATAAAAGATAACACACTGGTCAGATCAGATCATACGGGAAATGGTGAGAACCAATTAGAGCTAGTGCTTGCTCCATTTCACAGGCATTAATTAAGCCCAAGAATTAAACAAACCAAAGCTAAAATCATACTCTGAATATCAAATCCAACTCAATGTCAACTCATTTTTCCTCAGGTGGAACTGATCTGGACAATCTAGAAGAAGTGTCCTAACTAGCCCCGTCTGGCTAAACTTTCAATGACTAAAATGAAAGGAATAATTTAGCCACTACCAGCTTCAAAGGGGCAGTGGCTTGGTAGCACAGCATCTGCTTGGCATGCAGAAGTTTCCAGGTTTAATTTCTGGTATCTCCAGTTAAAAGGATCAGGTAGTAGGCAATGCTCCCTCTAAACTGTGGAGTCTTGTGAGCAAAAATTCTACTTTGTGAGCTACTGGCATTAAAGTTGTGAGCGAGTGATTTGGCTAGTGCATAAATTAGTTTGCTCTGGAGCCATCCTTCCTGAGCTAAGACAAAAATGTGTGAGCCGGAGGCTAAAAAACGGTGAGCTAGCTCACAGTAATTCAGCTTAGAGGGAACACTGGAGAGCTGCTGCCAATCTGAGTAGACTATACTGACATTGACAGACCAATGTTTTGATCCGGTATAAAGCAGCTTCATCTGTATATCTGTACAATTCTATTGTTTTCAGTGGGTCGTGACTCATGACTGGCTTCAACTGGGTTGCAGTATGGTCTAGGCATCAAACAGTCCTGGCCCATCCTTTGTTGGGGTGAGCTGGGACAAATTAGGTGACATGTGAATTGACTTGTTACTGTATAAGATGAATGTGATTCCAGAAAGCCAACAGCTTATAGTGCACATTCAGCATCTTGAAATATCTTGCGGGGTGTGGGTGTGTCTTTTCATTGTCATAGCAAACCTCCCTAAATCAAAGAAAACGTGGGAGGCCCAAATAGCAAAGGAATAAAAAATGGAAACTGCTCAGTTCCCAGGGTTGTACTCTTCTCCAGGGAAATCAAAAGAGAAGGAAATTATCACAACCATCTTGACATGTGACTAGATTCCCCAAGAACCTGAAAGCCTTTGCAAAGTCAGGAGCGGACACATTAAGCATTAGAATAACTGGGAAGGAGGGGCTTTGACTCTCTGCCTCATTACTCAATCTAAATTAGAAAAACCTGAATGGTACAAAAAGATAACCCAAAGCACCTGGTAAAGGTTGCTTTGGGCTTTGAGAACCCCACAGCAAATTTCATATAAAAGATCCCCAATGTGTGGCCTATAATACCTGCAAGTGGAACATATATTGAAATTTATACTGCATGTTTGGGCTGTTGAAAACAAACTTGAAAGGATCAGGATGAGTTTCATCCTAACCATTCGTTAAGACAGCCTTACCGTTTATTGGTTACAATTCAGCTGAATTTTTTAACTGGTTATGCAAACCGCCATGTCTCACACTGGCCAACGGAGGCATGCAGCAGTTGTTTCCACACTAGAAAAGAGGTGTGTCATTTTAGATCATGCCTGGATTGTAAACTTTTGAATTAGCAAAAAATTATCATGTTGCTGCTCCAGTGCTTGCTATCAATCATGTTCTAAAGAACTTGTAATATATAGGATAAAACTCGGAGTCCCTCCATTGTTACACTGAGCCAAGTCATCTCTGTCTACCGCTAGAAGTGACTCTCCATGCTTATGTGCAGAGCTCTTTTCCAGTGCTACTACCTGAGGTCCTGTAATTGGAAATGCCAGAGTGTTTTAAAAGCAGGAGCTCATCCATGCTGAGTGTGTAACCTCAGCTCCCTGCTCCTACAAATTTTTGAGGAAGTGGGATGGGAGAATTGTGTTTGTTGTAGATTAAGATAGTGTGTGATTTAATTCCAATAGTAAAAAAGGAAGTATCCTGTTGAAAGGTGTTATAAGATACAATTTCAGAAAAGAGATGCCAGAGAAATATTAACATAAGTTTTACTAGTAATCTTTACCAATCTTGTAAAAATGTAGTAGGTTTCTGATAAAAAAAGATCTTTGTGAGCTTATTTTAGATTGTTTAGTTGCTTTAACAGTTTTCCCATTACATGATAGTTGTCAGCATACTTGTACAAGACTATGCAAACTACTGTAATTATGAGTTATGATACAACTGCTATTTCCTTTGGAACATGATTACCATTTGCCTGGGCAATCTTATTGGTATCTGGTGTAGCTTTGCGGAAGAACTTGTGGCCACGAGAATCAGTGCTGACAAAGACATATCCTGGAGGAGAAGGATAGGTTGCTGGGCAGATGGCCTGCATCTTTGGAGTATATTCTGTACGGTACATGGTTCCTGCTTCAAAAGGTGCTGCAGTAGAAAGAGCTATCTTTAAAGGTTTACAGCTTTGAGTTGGAACTATACTGTGTGGTATGTAGTGAGCTCTGAAAGTGGTCATATCATCAAATTTCCCAAAAGACTTTGGCATTTCCTGGGGCCTCTTTATCATATCTTGCCGACTGGTATCCCAAGCTTGAAAGTCATCCCTCATGGTTGTGTTCCCTTGGAAGGGGGCAGTATTCTTCCTACTAGTTTCTAATGGTCTCATGAGGACAACTGGATGGACTTCATGTTCAATATAATCAAGGTGGGATGTAGTATTCAAGTCCATATTACCTGCAGGTGGAATATATTCTTTTGCTTTGTGTACATCAGGTAAGGAAACGGCCCATGGTTGAAAACGATCACGGAATTCTGTCACTCCATTAAAATGAGACTTTGATTCTATTTTAGTGTATTCAGGCTTGAAGCTCTTTGGAAGCTCCCCCACAAGCCCTCTAAAATCACACCGGTGGGTTGTGATGTCTTCAAATGGTTGGCTATTTGGCCTGTACTCTTCTTTTGATCTTACCCACTTTGGTTCTAGCTGATGAGTAATGTAATCATTGCGATGGCTTGTGATACCATTAAAAGGATGGTCAGAAAGCTTTGTCATTGCGATAGGCTTAAAACTTTTTCGGGGAGTGAGTTCCTTGGGGGGGAAATCATCTTGAAATGTAGTGCTATTCCCAAACTTCTCAGTGGGCAGATGGTAGGTGCTGTCTGTTTTATGAGGCTCCCTTCTTTGAATTCCCCAGGCTCTGTAGTCAGCTTTAAGACAAAAACGGTATTTAATAACGGAATTTTGCCTGGGGTGTTAATATCATATATCAAAGTCATAGAACTGTGGCATTCTACACAAACTGTATCCAGCCTGCTAATGTCAGCCAGTCAGTCCTTACTGAACAAGCCTGCTAATGCAGCGGCTACGGATTGCATTAATAGGCATCTGATTTCTTCCTAACACAGTGAGCCAGAAAGAGAGGAGGACACATTTATATGACAAACCACTCTCACTGAAATGGTTCCCCTTCCTCAGTGCATCCTGGGAACTGTAGCTTGAGGTGCTGAGAAAGAGTTTTCTAGTATCCCCCCCAATGCCTACACCCCCATATACAAATAAACACACAACAGCAATTCTCATGGTTCACTGAGAAGAAATCTATAGTGTAGATCTGCCTTAAGATGAAACAGGACACGACGTTCACCTTGGAGCCTAAGGTGATGTCAGAGGAGAGCTGCACTGCACTTAACCCAGAGGGTCCACTACCAAGAGGCAGACTTCCGCATGTCACAGCCTGACTGCCTGCTCAGTGCCTACAATGGTCAAGCCAGCAACTCCTTATCTCCACAAAAGCAGCACGAGTTATTACCTTGGTATGTGGGTATTGTATTTATCTTTCCACCTTTGACATGTTTCCTCTCTAAAGGTCTTACTAAAATCACTGGTTGTATTTTGTGAACATTATAATCTCTCCGGTAAGTTGTTCCCAGGTCCATATCTCCGGGTGCTGGTTTGTACTCTTCTTGCACCCGAACAGGCCGATTCGCCATGTCATATGGAAGGTAGTCAGACCTAGAGTGGGAAAGGACAAAGAACAGAATTTAAAGAACCAAAGCCTGCAAGAATAGTTAACAAAAATAATTCAAAGTATTTTTAAAAAACGTTACTTTTTGAAAAGCAAGGTGAATCTTGCTGCCAAATATCACATGGGTTACAATTATAGCTGTAACACGGATTTAATCTTGATTGATTTGGTATACCTTTATAATCAGGCGCAGATTTTAAAAAACAAGTATTTATGAAAACAGAGGCCAGCTAGAGAGAATTGCCAAGAAGACACCTGCCTACTGCAGTATGGGCAATCATCATTTTTAAAAAGTACTTTTTCAGAACTACCAATTTATAAATGCCAGTTTTGTCAATACAATTTATTGACTAAATTTTATGGAATTTAATAACAATATTGGTCAAGTTATTCATTAGCCATGTAATGGTTCTGTTGGCTCTCGGTGGTGGTGGAAAGTGATCTCCCAGGGTTTTCAAGGCAACAGCGAGGTGGCTGGCCATGGCCTGCCTCTGTCTGGCACCCTGGTCTTCCTTGGTGGTCTCCCACCCACCCATGAGTTCACCAGAGTTGTCCCTGCTTAGCTTCTGAGATCTGACAAGGCTGGTCTAGCCTGGGCAATTCAAGTCAGACCTGTTGGCCTTTAGGTGATGCTAAATCTTGCCAATGGTTCCCAGCCATTATGTCTTGTGGTGGGCGTGTTCTCCAGTTCTACCTATTGGGGCAGTATTTACCTGAAAGTTGTGATTCCTTCCATTTTCCCTCCATGTTTTTGGTAGTCCTGTTTGGGCTTGAGGCTCTGGGGAGGAGGGACGTTGCCATACTGGGGGTATTTGTCTACGTATTCCGTCATGAGGCAGGACTCTCCTCCATGATCATAAATTCGTGTGGGATTGTGAGGGCAACGGTGGCGCCTGAGAATGAACAAGCATGCACACATACATGCATAAAAACAAAAGCATGAAACATGAACTTAAACCATAAAACAGCAGGAAGAAAAGAAGTTGCAGCTACTTCCTGGAGCTTTAAAAGGATGCAGCATTTCGTTAGCACTGAATTCCATGCTAAAGAAGCCTACATTTTGTATCTAGAACAAACTGCACTTGTATCCAGTGGCCTGTTTTTAAGCAGATTTTTCCACTTCCATATTTCAGGTTGGCACTGCAGCACATTTTTCTTGGCCTCATACTGGTACCCACTGCGAGGGCTTATCTTTCACGGGGTTGGGGGAAGCCATACTGGACTGGTCTATCTGGCAGTTGCTCTCCAGTGACTCCTGCACTGCTCTGATCATTGTCTAATGGAACAAAATAAGGACTTTTTTATGGGTAAAGCCTGTGCTCTTTATTTAGAGAATTTCTGTGCCACCTCTCCAGAGCCTGCTCTGATGGAGCTCACAAAAGAATAACTATGGCCTTGGTCACACGGGCCGGATATCGCGGGGGGAGGGCGTGGCTAATTGCCCCGGCGCAGTTTGAGTCGCGATTACGCGATCAGACGCACCGGCGGCACACTACAGGTCCTTCCCTCGGCGCCGGCGGGTAAACGAGGGACCGGAGGGGAATGCCGCGCGCTGGCGCGATCACACCACGGGTGTCTGGAGGCAGCCCGTGGCAAACGTTTACTAGTACCTTGGAGGTACTAGTTTTTTAAGGCACATTGTCGGCGGTAAGCCACGGGTGTGCTCCACTTCCCAGATGTTGAGGTGTGATCGCGCCCGGATAATCCGCCCATCTTTCATGCCTCTCCCACGGCAACTTTGCCGTGTGACCGGGGCCACAGAGTTGCCAGCCTCCAGGTGGGGCCTGTAGATCTCCTACTTTCACAACTGCTTTCCAGCGGACAGAGATCAGCTCCCCTGAAGAAAATGGTTACTTTGAAGGGTGGACTCTATGGCATTGTGTCATGCTGAGGCCCCTGCCCTCCCCAAACCCCGCCCTCTCCTGGCTCCACCCCCAAAGTCTCCAGGTATTTTCTGACCCAGACCTATCAACCCTAGAATAACAATATAGTAAAATCACAATGTAAGAATTATCAGTCTAAGGCCAAGCCATAAAACAAGCCAGGGATTTAAAACAACATTCAGCAATATAACATTATAGCCATAAACAGACTAGAGGCAGACAGCAGAAACAGCCTGCGTTAAAAATCAATGCTTTGCCCTAGCACCTACAGAGCAGTCAAGGAGGCACTAGGTAAGCCTCGGGGGGGGGAGCATTCCAAAGGCAAGGAGTCACCACTGAAAAAGCCCTGTCTCTAGTTCCTATATCCCCCCGCCCTGCAGGTGAGGGCACAGGCAGGCAGCGGAGCTTGGGAAATGGATTAGACAGTGCAGGGAGAAGCAGTCGTTCAAGGTCAGCCCTGTGCTGTGGCCCTTCCAGAGAGTCACGTTATCTATGTGATCCCACTTGTAGTTCTGCTTTAAGACTACTCTCTTTTGGCTGGTGCTTACCACTCTTCAACCTCCCTATTTCCCCACCTGGTATGTTTGTCAGTGGCTTTGACATAGTGAATCTGTGCTGCAGATTTTCTGGAAATACCTCAGCACATCTCTTGCCCTAGTCAGATCTCTTTTAGCATCCTGTGCATTCATTCCTCAGGACCCAGTCCTCAGGGGTAGGGGAGAGAAAAGAGCAACCTAAGGAACAAGGGCTTCTTTGTTAGCATTGACAAAAAGCATTGTTTCATGTTCCAACAAATGAAAATGTTAACCAAAAGTAAATTGTGGTTGACTGAGCTATGCTTTATAAAATGCTCTTCACAAGAATAACAGGCACAACTAGAGGCCCAGAAGAGCAAAAGCCTGTGTCACATGACTGGATGGAAATAGCTTCTGACTGGAACAAGATGGGTGTGGCTGGCTTGAGGATCACACTGGCCTTTCTTCCTCCATGAAGGTTTCCTGACCTCTATCAAGGTGGCTGCTGTGCCGGTGCTTCAGGTGCCTCTTCTGGCACAACAGCATTGTGCCTCTTGGAACCAACGGAATTAAGACTGATCACTCTTCTCAACAGCTTGCCACAGAACCTATTCTCCAGTAGTTCCTTTGAACTGAAGGCCCATGTCCTTCATCAGTAATGCAGGAAAAATTCTGAACATGCTTTAGTAAAGGGGTGTGGTTGTGAGTGTAGAAATAGGCTAAAGAATTCTAGACTGTACCACTTCATATTGCTGCCGGGATATTGTGATTTTGAACATGCCTCCTTTAAAAGTCCTTCCTGTATCTAGTAAACGAAGATCAGAGAAAGGATCGCATTCAATGCATGCAGGGGCTTTATACGGAAGATTATTCAAAACACAATCTGTGCTTTCCCCCACCTGCAGTTGGAAGTAGTACAGCCCATTCTATCATCTTGCTCAGTGGCATATATAGACGGGTCTAAAGAGAAGCTACCCCAACCTCTAGTCTTCTAGGCCGATATACTAAGCTGTTTAACCAGAGTTATGGTCCTGGCTTTGTATTTTCAGGCAGCAGTCCTCCAGGGGATGCTCCTCCAAAGCCATGTCCCACTAGGACAACTCTATTTGATCATAAAAAGCTGCAATGCCCAGCGGGATTTAAGATCACAAACGGCTTATAAACAAAGTGAATTCCTCAGTAAAGCTTTTAATTGCTGTAGTAAAGTTTCTGCTAGAGCAAAAACAGTGTCTGCATTGGGCCCCTGTTTCTGGAGGCTTTCTGCTTCTCAAATGTCCTCCATTCCCCAATGCCGACAAGCAGAAAACCCTGTGGAGAATTCAGTAGGATTTATAGCTACCGAGACCTCTCTCACGGAAATTCAGTAGAGCTACTAAAAGGAGAAATGACATCAACAAAATTAACTTGTCAGCAAGTATTTACTCCTGTATATAAAGGAACCAAAAGGGCGGGGGAGACTCCCTGGAGTAGGTTGATTCTCTAGTATCCCTTCTGTTGAAAAGCACTGCCCGTATTGCCAACAGCCTGCCTCTCCATATAAGCAAGAATTACTGTTGTTTTAAACTGGAACATTGTAGGTTTGCTTGGATGGAAATTAAGGATGGTACTTCTGTTAACAGACCAGGGTTTGTTTGGGTGTGTGTGTGTGGAATAGGAGGGCAATTAGTATTTAAGGCTCCTTGGGGTATCTCCAACATTTTTCTATAATCACATAAAAAGAAGCATCTTAAAGTTCACTATATACCTTAAAGTTAAACAGAAATATCCTGCAGACTGTCTCACCTCCTCTTCCATTGGCTGCTCCTTCAGCACTTGTCAGTAGATGAGGTTTATTGTTTGGGACCTGATGAATTGTGACATCAGAAGGACATCCTCCCAGTCATCATTCTCCCTGGCCTTTTCTCTCTCTCTCCTCCTTTTTCACTTGTGAACTTTCTGGAAAACTTTTCTCTGAAAATAGTGTTTAATTCTCATCTTCAGCTCTTCTACGACCTTTTCTTTCCACTACACTAAAGTTCTGCTGTTATTTGTATGTGATAATTTCATTCACTAGGATAATCTATCCTATTATATCTGATGCCAGGGTAGATGACCAACAACAACTACAACAATAATACAGTCCACAGTAAACAATGTCCAAGGAAAACCAATAAATAACAACTGTGCACTGAAAAACCCGCACAAGAGCTATTAAAAAGAGACTTCAACACAATAAGTAATGCAATACATGTAATCCATCATAGGAAAATACACAAATCCATAATAATGTCTCCTTAGAATTACAAAGCAGAAAATATGGACCACTACATAATCTACTTACATATGGGCCAAGTAGATTATGTAGTGGTCCATATTTTCTGCTTTGTAAATCATATGATTAATTCTAAGGAGACATTATCTTTTACAGAGAAACTGAATAATGTTTACCCGTTAAGAAACTGCAATGAGAAGGGGAAAAAAAGAAACTGCAATGAGACTTCCTGTAGTGGGTAAGATTGCATGAGACTGTTTAAAATATTTGGTAAACTATTATGTTGTATTTGGTAAACTATTATGTGGTTTAAATGTTTGTATTTTATTAGTATGAGGTATTCTATATTTTTATAGTTTGTAGTTCCTGAGAAAGGACCTGAAGTCCGAAACACTAATCAATACCTAGGAAAAGTGTTGGACATCTATTCCAGACTTCATTGTGGACATCTATTCCAGACTTGATTGTTTTGAGAGATTGTTATTCTGAACTTTGTTCTTTCCCTTTGGGATATTATGGATTTGTGTATTTTCCTATGATGGATTACATGTATTGCATTACTTATTGTGTTGAAGTCTCTTTTTAGTAGCTCTTGTGCGGGTTTTTCAGTGCACAGGGTAGATGACCAGCCAGGATTTCTCCCAAATGCATACTGTAATGATTTCATGTTTAACTGTGTGTATGTGTCTTTAAAAGTTTGGTTGCATGCCTGTGTGATAGTCTAGTGTGATTGAAACAGGCAAGTGGTGTGAGTGGTGAGTGACAGAGAGGGGGAGGGGTTTTGGAAATGATTCTGTGTGGATGAGTTGATATGTCAGTCAAGAGTGTTGGTTAGTGAGATGACAGTTGAAAGTCAGTTAAGTTAAGTTCGGATTTCTGTGAGAGAAGCAGAAGTTCTGTGTATGAGAAGAGTGAAGCATCCCTGTGTGGGATGAGTTTAGTTCTGGGGTCTGAAGGAGAGACCTTCTTGTGTGTGATATGAGAGTTAAGTGCTGTGTCTGAAAGAAAGTGACAAGCAGTTCTGTGTTGAAACAGTTATAAGCTGAAGCTGAGTGTCTAGGAAACAGTAAAGATTATATGGACATGAAGGAAAAAGTGTTACAAAGTTACCTAAGGAAAAATCCCTGTCAGTAGGGAGCAGACTGTGTGTTATACCTACTTTACTAGTTACATGGTTCTACCCTCGTATTTATGCTTTCTTTAAATAAATCCTATTTCATTCAAGTATACCAGCTCTAGAAAGAATCCTTCCTCAGACCACATAGTTCCTCGAAAGCTTAAACCCTCGATCCACCTACCCTGTGATAGAAATAGTAAAGCATAAAGGTTTGGAAAGCCTTATACATTTCCTGGTGGCAGCCGGATACACATAATAAAATAAAACCTAAAGAACACTTTAAAGGGAAACCAGACCTCCCCAGTAAAGGGGTCGTCACACATACCTTACTGCATGGCATTTGAATCTTGACACAAATCACTCTATTTACGCTATAATACAGCTTTCGGGGGGGGATGCTCCCCCCTCCCAATAACTTGAGGTCAGGAAGAACTGCCCCAGGTGATCAGGTGGGGAGTGTTTGGAATTTGTCAAGAGCCAGGGCTTTTCCACATGGGGTTTTCTCAT